GGTCTGTGAAGCACACGAGGTATATATACAGGGAGGAAATTGTGATTCCATCTCTTTCTCTCTACGAAACCAACAGCGCTAGAAGAAGCTTGTGAGAGCAACAACACAGAAGAAAACCGAGAAGAGGCAACCATGGCAACTAAAAAGGTGGGCTCGGAAGTCCATAGTTAAGCCGAGAGCAACAGTACATTACGGTAGTCCAGCTGTTAGTCTGTCAAATGCGATTGCTTTCACTATAAAAGAATTCGCTTTCACTGACAGAAGTCTATTGCTTTCACTATAGAAAGAATTCGCATTTGCTTTCACTGACAGAAGTCTATAGAAAGAAAAGTATTATGGGTACTGTATATAGTTCTTTTGATTCTGCTTGTAACCGTTCAATGAGTAGTTCTGACTGTTAGATATATTCGTAGTGTTTTGAGAGGCAAGCAGAGTGCATTCATAGGCCGTTCGTTACGTTAATGAATGACCGTTTAACCTATTCTAACCGACATTCCATCATTACTAAGGCGCGCTAATTGTCTTTATTTAATGCCACTCTAACTTTGGTTATTTGTGAGCTATATTGGGTTCGTAACGTGGCGGACATTGCTCCCAGCAACTCTACACTAAAATAGGAACTAAAATAGATTGCAAACCGTTGTCGCCCATTGCCAAAATGCATATTCTGCTACAGATGAAATATTTCCATCGCCTTTTTTTTCCATTAGTGCACTTCATGCTTCATTTCGAGGCCGTGTCACGTAGATTGAGGCAGGGAGAGCTAAAAAAAAGTTTCTATTTATAATTTGTACTCAGGAGGAATTAGAAAAGCTTTAGCCGGCTGTGGTTCGTCTAGCCGCCTGCGTACGCATGCAAAAGGGGAGTGTCAAGGCTACTGTCATATGAGGAAAGACTATTCAATGAGCAATTTCATACAGACCCTCATACTTAAATTACCAAAAAACGCAAAAAAAACAACAAAACAACAAAATACCCATTTCACCAAGCGACATAAACATGCATTTTATCATAATACAACGGCATAATCCGTGGTTCTGTGGCATAGTTTGCGATGTTCACCGAGTAATGTGTGTGTGTTGCTTGAAGATGTGCAGACGGAGGCGAGCCAAGTCTGGCACCCGCGCTGCGTGGATTAGCGCCCTGCATTCACTTGCTTTGGTTGTTTGTCTGGCTGGCAGTGAACTCGTGAGATTATATATATATATATATATATATATATATATATATATATATATATATATATATATATATATATATTATATATGTATATGTGTATGTGTGTGTGTGTGTGTGTGTGTGTGTATGCGTGATATACACACACACAGCACACGTATGTGTATATACATGTACAATATGCATATATATATATGTATATATATAATATATTTATATATATGTATAAGATATATGCATATATATGTATGTATATATGATATATATGATGTGTATTGTACATGCATACTACACATATACACACATATAACATAAATTACCACACACACAACATTTCACACACACTCACACATACACATACACACCACACACACATACATACACACACACATATTATATATTATATATATATATATAATATATATATAGAATATGTATATGTATGTTATAAGTATATATTGTGTATGGACTTGTACATTAGATATATTCTTGCACACACACACATACCACACACACACACACACACACACACACACACACACACACACACACACACACACACACACACACACACACACACACACACACACACATACACACACACACACACATATTCACACACACACACACATATTCACACACACACACATATTTCAACACACACACATATATTCACACACACACACATACACACACACACACACACACACACACACACACACACACACACACACACACACACACACACACACACACACACACACACACACACACACTCACACTCTCTCACACTCTCACCACACACACATGAGTATATTTAAATGTTTCCGTTAACACAACTAAAGGGTATATAATTAAAAATTTAAGTTATACATATGAATCAGCTAAATATATACTGTGATAGATTTTTCTTGAAGTGTCTTAACCTATTATGCTTTAGAAGGTTAACGTCAGTTGATGGTTGTTCCAAGACCTAAATTACATATTTAACGATTGATATATTTGGTCGTATAGGAGATAAGTTGGAGATAATAAAGAAAGAGAAAAAGATAATATAACAAAAGCATTCATTATCGTCATGATTGGAGATTTTAAATAATTATTTAAAACCAAGCAGGAGGTACATGATTTTTAAAATTAAAAGACAATTTTTTTGTTTACATTTTCGGAGTCAAGTTTTTCAGCATGTCAGTCGACCCTAAATTATCGTTTTTAATTTATTCGTTTTAAGGATATTAGTAATGTGAAAAATTATAATGTTTTTGACTATTCTAGATATACATGTTTATTCATGTTTGTGACTTCATGCATTTCTCTTCTGTCCTGGTGTTCTATAAAAAAAAAAAAAAAGAAAAGAAAAAAAAATATATATATAACGGAACTTTCTAATTATCTTTGCCTGTAAAAGTTCACGACTCTACTGCACATTTGTTCCCTATATTGAAATTCTTAAAAAAAAAAAAAAAAAAAAAAAAAAAAAAAAAAAAAAAAAAACGGAATATTCTAATTTAAAAACATTCTAACGACCTATCCTCACCCACACGTCTGTGTGACGATGCCTATCCCTCTCCTATCCAAAAAATTTAAAGATAGAAACCTCTCCACAGGGTCTCCTTCAGCGTCTGGACGAGGGCGTGGTCATCGGCGACGGCGGCTTCGTGTTCGCCCTGGAGAAGCGAGGCTACGTGAAGGCGGGTCCGTGGACGCCGGAGGCCACTATCGAGCACCCTGAAGCCGGTGAGTGGGTCTCGGAGGCGCGCAGGAGGGAAGACGAGGGGCGCGGTGGGGGAGGGGCTGGGATGGGCGGAGTATCGCTTCGGGCGGCGTGCAGGAGGGGAAGACGAAGGGGGCGGGTGGGGGGAGGGGGCTGGGATGGGCGGGTATCGAGACTTACGCTAAAATTCGGGCGTGCAGGAGGGGGAAGACGAAGGGGCGGGTGGGGTGGGATGGGGCGGGTATCGAGACTCGGTTAAATTTCGGGTGTGCAGGAGGGAAGACGAAGGCGGCGGGGGAGGGGAGGGGGGAATGGGCGGGTATCGAGACTAAAATTAGGCTAAAATTCGGGCGTGCTTGGGTTCCCGGTGGTGAGCTTATAAAGCGAAAAAAAAGGTGTGTAAACAACGCCCATACGTTATACATACTATACGTGTTATGTGTTACGGAGACAAAAATTCATTCGCTTTTACAGGGTAGAACAAAACACGCGAAGAAATAAACAAAAACACCATACCCATTCTAAAAGACTCCAACAATAGACAATACGACTGTGAAAGCAAAAACATATAATTACAAAAAAGAAAAGGAAGAGAAAGAAGCAATAATGATTAGATAAAACCATAAAACCTTTTAACTGTCCCTATCCTCATTCCCTCGAGCCGTGACGTACCCTGTCACCTCCAGCTGTTCACCTTGTTCTCGTAGGGTACAAAAGTGTGTCCGGTTGACCAAGTGTTAAGTGGGGTTGGTGAGGGGGAGGAGGAGGGGGAGGGATGGTTACGTAGAGGAGGAGAAGAAGAAGGATGAATGATGATGATGAGGAGGAGAAGAAGGATGAGGATGAGGAGGAGGAGGGGAGGGGTGGTTACGTAGAGGAGGATTAAGAGGAGGAGAAGGATGATGAATGAAGAGGAAGAAGAGGAAAGAAGGATGATGATGATGAGGAGGAGGAGGATTTGGTAGACAGGGCGACGAGGAGACAGAGAGGTGGTTGTGATAAAGAAGGAGGAGGAGGAGTAGAATAATGAGGAAAAGGAGAAGGAAGAGGGGTAAAATGAGGAGAGGGTGGTGACAGAAAAAGGGAAAATAAGAGAAAGGGATGGAAGAAAACTAATAAAAAGTAAAACAGAAAGAGGAATTTGGAGATAACACAGAAGAACGAGAAACAGATAGATAGCAGAAATAGAATGTGACACAATGCTGAGATAAACAAACAAACAACAAAAAAAAAACAGCTGACGTAATACATACAATCAACAAATAAATACGATGATGACGACTATTGGGAACTAGACCTTTAGTTCACAGAGTACACGAGGCCAATCCTCCTTTGTTTTGCCTCCTCTCGCCTCTCGCTTCTCTCTTTCTCTCCTCTCGCTTCTCGCTTCTCTCCTCTCTCTTTTCGCTCTCTTCTCTCGCTTCTCGCTTCTCTCCTCTCCCTCTCTCTCCTCTCCTTCGCTTTCTCCTCTCTCTCTTGTCTCGCTCTCTCCTTCTCGCTCTCTCCCCTCCCTCCTCTCGCTTCTCTCCGTATTCCTTTCCTTCCCACTCTCTTCTCTCCTATCTCCTTTTCGCTCTCCCCTCCCACCTTCTCTCCTCTCCCTCCCACCTCTCTCCCCTCCCGTCCCACCTCTCTCCTCTCGCTTCTTTCCTCTCTCATTCTCTCACCTCTCTCCTCTCTCTTTCGCTTCTCCTCTCCCTGCCCACCTTTCTCCTTCTCCTCTCCCCTCTCGCCTTCTTTCCTCTCCTCTCTTCCCTTCTTGTCTGGTTATCTTCTCCTCCCTTTTCCGAGTTCTCTCTGTCTCATTTTCTCTTCGCTTTCCATCTCACTCCCTTTCCTCTCCCCTCTGTGTCTATCTGTGGGAGTGGATCTGGTTGACTGAATTGCAGATCACGATTGCAATAATAAAAAAAAGTGAATAAGTTATATAGTAGATATATTTTGGTTCCATTTTTGGTACATGGTGCCCCAAAGATAGCGGTCGAGGCTATGTCTTTAGAGAACTGTCATCGGATTAGGAGTGAACGCGTCTGAACGCACTCAAACGTGAACAGTTTTACTATGCATTATCCATTCTTTTAACTTTTTTCTATAACTTTTCTCCTTTACA